TAGTCGCGGGTCTCTCCCTTCTCCTGTGGTGGAATCTAGCATCGGATTATGGACAAAATTAAAATCTCCAGCCCAAAGCAAATGATCATCCTGTCCTATCCTATTTACCACATCGCCAAGAGAATGCACACACGCCTTCCTCTGATCTATCGAGTAACTAGATGTCATGAGGTACAAATTAATCAAATGAATACGGTGACCACACCACGTGAACGAAACCGACGCGCTACGGCCTTGGGGAATGTTAGCCGGAAGTAGTCGTGCCGGTGTTTGTATTATTTTAAAGTCGCGATAAAGATCTTTGCGCACTAGCACTAACACTCCAGCCGTCCGGGCATTGGTCGTGGGGGATTGTGCTATTATATCCCATCCCGGTATCCCTATTTTCTGAGCCGCGAATTGCAATTCTCTAGTGAGAATTGTCAGGTCTCCATCTCCCATATGATGTGTCTCCTGTAAACAAATGACATCTAACCTATGTTGGGCCCATACTCTAGCCGCAGCATGGATACGAGTAAATGCCGAATGCGTGAATAAACCTGCTACATTATGGGACGCTATGCGAAGGGGTCTATTATTAGGCCTCCTGCATCTTGTCCGTCGCCCCATTTACCTAGGGGGTATTTCCGTATCCCCATTTCCGCGGACTACTACTATATTTCTCACTTCCTCCTCCTCGCCGACTTGCATGAGGCCACCCGGGTCGTCATGTGGAAGAACATGAAACCTGGGCGGGCTTATTACCGAGTCCCTCCTCTTGTGTTGGGGACTGATCCCTGGAGATGACGTGCGTGACGTTGGTTTGTCCGCATGCTTGCCCAGCACAGGTTGGTCGGTGGGCAGAATTGGGTTTCCACGATGCGTCCGTCTGTTTTGTAATTGCCATTGCTGTTCATCTGGCCTATTTCCGGCCACATCTTGAATCGGTTGGCCAAGTAAGGGGTGCGTGATGGAGTGAGTTTTGGGGATAGAAGCTGATGTCGGTAGTCCCGGTTGATTGGTGGTTGTGTATGAGAGCTGCTGCTGTTGTCGCTGCTGCTGCTGTGGCGGCTGTTGCTGTATC